TTTTGAGATGTATTTCTCTGAGATTGATTTAATTTGTAGGGTTTAAAAGATTAAAAATGACACGTCAATAATTTATATCTGGATTGTTTCTATAGTAGAAAGAGGCTCCAGTAAAAGCAGTGAAGAGAGGGGTACAACTTAAAAATTAAGCATTTTATTGTTTTATTTTCTTCAAAAGTCAGTGTTGCACTTTGCATGTTGTGCTGCTTTTGGCATAAATCTTCTGATCTGAATCGTAGCAGCTGTGAGGCATCAGGGGCCTTTCTGGTATAAACAAATCAAATTCTCTTTTTCACTACTGATAATATGCCTGGTCATAGTTGATAACATTAACAATGACACCTGTGGGAAGCTCAGTGAAGAGTTCAGTTTAATTGAAGTTTCCTGCCTCACTGTTCCCCTTGGTCACGTGAAATCTCAAAGCCCGATAATCTTGGCCAAATAAGAAACAAACAAACTGCACGGCTAAATGTCACCAGAGGCAAGTTGGAGATTGTTTATTTTTGGTTTTCAAAAAACGGTTGTGTTACTTAAAAGCGTCTTTGTTAGGTTTATGGAATGGTTAAACACATGATTCGGCACAAACACAAATCACTTTAGAGTAAAGCCACAGTTGCGTAGTTGGGGCTTCTTCTTGTGTACACTGCAGTGAATGTTCCTCTTAATCAGCATGAGACTAGCTTCACACAATTATAGTGTGCAGAAGGGTTTTGTTGTCAGTTCCAATTACTCTTTGATTATCTCATTCTTGGTTTTGCAAGTTTTTATAACATCTTCATGCCATTTTGTTGACATGGTCTGCCTTTTAACGTGAGTATTTTCTTGTCTCTGTGTTCAAAGGATTGCTCAAGGACATCACAGGCAACTACATGGCCTCCTTCATGGTAGCGGGTTCTTTCCCCATCCTCGGCACCTTGACCATGGCCACCCTGCCTCACTATTTCTCTTGCACCGACCCACCACCTCCTCAGAGACGTTCCCTTGGTGACAAAGATAAGGGTTTAAATTCAGAATTGGAGCAGATGAATACTTTGCCCTCTGACATAAGCGATAAAGGGGGTGAATGATCGGACGGGTGAAATAACATGGTCCAATAAGCTTCAAGACTGTGTCGGTGAAGGCTTCAGGAGCGTTGTTAAGCTCTTTGGTAATGATGGCAAATTTCTGAAGACGCCATCAACAGGTATGCTGTGGCACACGTCTGTGAACGGCCTCACTTTTACCTCAGAGACTCGGACCCAAAGCGAACACTGAAGCGTGCTGTAGCAGCAGATGGGGAGGGAAGTGAGTTCCTCGCTCTGTTACATATCATAACCTCGGTTTTATGTTGAAGCCAGTATCTGCTGCCCGAAAGGAAACTCTGGACTTTTAAATATTTAATTGCAGCTCACACACCTTTGATCAAGATAGGATAAGTGAAAGACAATGTTTTTTGTTTTTTTTTACAACACACCTTAAGTGCACTTTTAGCTTACATGGCTAAGAAACAGAAATTTCTTGGTTGTTGAAGTGAACTGTGAATCTTATCCTGTTGCTGGAAGACTTACCAGCATGTTTAAATTCTGCACATACATGATTTATCTTAAAATTTACACTATCTTCTCGTTATATGGCACAGATTACAATTATCGCTATAGATACTGCCCATCAGTGTGGCTGAACTAAATGACTGCAGGGCTACGATTTTTTGTTTCCTGCTGTTTTGTGCGTATCATCTCCAAATGCCTAATAAATACACACTTCAGCTACATAACATGATACTTCATAGGGATCAGTAACGCTGATAGAGGGCTGTATGTCACATAATTTGATATTTAAAATTGTAACGATTAGGGGTGGGAATCACAGAATGGTTAAAATGGGTGATCAAAAACTAACAAAAACTAAATGTTGATATACCTTTTATACAATACAGTCTAAGGTTATGCAGAAGGACTTGCAGGAAGCAGATTTTCTGCAAATCACATGACCTTAAACTTGCGGTAGGCTCCAGCCTTCCCCACACTGGTCTTATATTTTTATTTGATGACAGTGCTTTACTGAATCCTGTGTGTGGATATATCGTTAAAAAAACAGAATCTCTTGCAACACACAGTGCTGCTCACTGTTAACACTGATTTATTATGAGCCCAGAAAAGCTGCTGGTATCAACTCCTTGACTCAGGAATTTCTCTTTCCACCCGTGCATTGTAATTCTCGGCAGGAACACAAGACAGTGTTTTTCCAAGTGCATTTTCTGATGACACGTTCAGTTTGTTTGCATAAGCACTTTGTACTTTTGTAAAACATAAGCAAAGACCGGCTTTGCAGAGCAGTGTGGTTTGGCTTTGATAACAGCTGGATGAACACCATGTTTTCAGTAAAAGCACAGTGACCTGCTGGTAACAGGCATACAGACGTCAGGGTTGCTGCGATGCAAAAAGCGTTTGGTCAGTACTTAACAGTGGAGCTTCACTTATTTGTGAAAGATGGAAAAAGCTCATCAGAAATATTTTTACTTAAAGATTTTAATGCAAAGCTGTGCCCCTCCAATCCTTAAACTACCACTCAAACTACCTGCAAAATGTCAGTGATGTGTTAAAATGTCATATTTTGTACTTAAACTTGATTAAAAACAATGTGTTTTGTTTTACTATATTTTCTTTTACTACTCTGCTTTCAATCTTTAACCTAATAGGCAGGCCGTCTGTTGTCATAGCACTTTAAATGTCAACCTTTACAAAATGATGACGCCCTCTGCTGGGGTTGACACGAAACGAAACCGTCTTACGTTTGTTTAAAAAAAGCCATCTAGACTTGTAAAACCGGTCTCATTCCAAACACACAGTTTAAACTCCGACACTAAAATACACTCAAACATCAGTTTGTATTGTGTTTATTTGATCTTAATACAAATTTGAAGTACCTCATAATTTAGACAAAATAGATATGAGAATAGTCTAAAAATGTAAAAATCTGCAATTATTACAATTTGACAGAAGACAGTTAAAATAAAATTTCACTTTTTGCAACATTTATGTGCATGACCTACAAACATTTTCATTTTATTTTTTATGTAACAAGTCAGTAAAAAGAACATAAAAACCCTTTTTTTGTTATAAAGAAGAAGAAAAAAATACAGATTTACTGGTTTTAATTAGGAAATCCTGGCAGAGTGATGGTGTTACCCCTGCTAGACATAAAGACACCTCATGCTGGTCTCATAAAACTGTTGCAGTGTTTCCACTTGGACGCAATTGTTCTGCTCTGACGTGTCCGCACAAAGAATTCACTGTTTGGAGCGTCCGTCCCCTCTGAAGTCAACACCAGCTGAGCTGTGACTGAACATGTGGCAGGTAGCCAGGGTGAGTGTGTGTGTGTGCCTGTGAGCTGAATCTTTTCTGCATGTGTTATGTGAAAGTATGTTAAGCTGAGGTGTGAAATGTAGCATTGTACAGTGGGGTGAGGAGGAAGCAGCAGCTGGTTAAGTTTTGGGGTCTGCACTGCGGCGTTTGAGCTTCTCGGGGTTGTTTGAGGCCATGTGTGAAAAGTCTCTGAAAATGTCCTGGTAGGTTTCATCACCTAGAAAAAAAAAACCAGAAGACTTTAGACTCCAAGTTTACAGGGATTTTTAACAACTAAAAGCTGTAAAGTTTAAGAATTAATGCGGAAATTCTTTTAATTTGTTCTCTCTGTGTACATCCACTATTTTAATGAGCTGCAGCTGTGTTTGAGTCATGACATCCTTCATCAAAAGCTACACAACCTCACATGGGACACCTTTAATTTTATTGGCAGAAACTTCACCAGCTATTTCCTGAACATATTAAAAGCTGTAGCCCTGAAGCACGACGCATGCAACTCAACGAATAAACACACAAAGGCATGCACACGCACTTTACCTCTTAGTTTGCTGTAGGTGGCACACTGCACAAGCAGTTGAGACCAGCTGGACGTCTCAGCGGGCAGAAGGCAACGAGTGCACACAACCAAGACAGACAATGACAAAGCACAGCACGTCAAATACTGACCAGCAGTCGTTTCAAGCAGACAAACGCGTCACGTTTCCATTCCTTCATGACTGAAAACTAGATGCAACTCGCAGTCTAAGCCTCGATCAGTCATGAAAGAACGGACTTTGCAGCTTGAAAAAGAGCCAGACGACAAACCCACTGTTAACCTTAAGCTCACGGGCTACAGAGCTCTTGGACCTGGCTGACAGCATAATAAATACAAACACATAAAACAGTGTAAAAGCTTCAACTGAGTCACTATTCACAGAATAGTGTGGAGGAAATTGTCACTGAGAACCAAACCCAACACTGAATTTAGCTTACATAACTGGAATGAAAAGACAGTTCATCCGGATACACCATAAAGACCATCTAACAGATACTGGATATAAAAATATCCAAAATATATACAGAGAATAGGCCCGATATAGGTCTATTATATATACATGTTCTTAAAGCTCAGTTATACAACAGCGAGACATTGAAGACACCCACATAGACGCCCACTGTCTCTTGATAAGGGATTTAGATAGTTTGTGGGTTTCAAAGTGCAAGAACATGTGCATTTGTAATTCAAAGTGCATGCAGAATGTTTCAATGTCCGTCCTCTGCTTCACAAGAGAGTTCTTCTCTTTAGCGATCACGTTTGCCTTAATTCTTGTCGTACCCTGAATTTGAATCTTTCACAATCAAGGCATTTTTTTTTTTCTTCTTAACTAAAAGTTGATGATGCATGTCTTGACTGGTCATTTTTATCCCTGTTAATCATTTTGCCCCCCTAGAGCCCAACCACTTATATGGTTCTTAATAGCCTGGAGGCTCTTCCTGGTGTGGGCCAGCCCACCTCCCGTCCCCCCAGATCCCTGCCCCCCCGAATGACCTGGTTGGCCGAATGCTCCGTCCATCTCCCGCATCTCCTTGTTCATTTTGGCAATCCGCAACCTGAAATACAGAATTTCAGTTTAGAAGAGTTGCTGCTGACAAGTGATTTACATTCCTTCCTTTTGACGCAAACACTCACAAAGTGACGATGTCGGCATTTGCGTTGTCCACAGCGATAGTTATGGGGTCTTTCTGGTTCTTGTCTCGGGCGTTGTAGTCAGCTCCTCGTTTTAGGAAGAGACAAACCAGGCTGGGAATGCAAGCAGAGCAGGCGTGAGAGTGAATGGGACAGTATTGCAAGTCTTCAAAACTGAAACTGTTTATGGTTTTGGATGCATTTTCTTTGAGTTAAGTACTTGTTTTATCTGTCTGCTCTTGCACTTGTGCCTGAGAAACTGACCTGCGGAAGTATTTAATTTTGTGTCTGTAGTTTCTTATTTTAAATGTATAAGCTAATTTTTTGTTCCGTTGGCCAATGAAAGTGTGCTCGTCCTACCCCGTGTGACCCATGATGGTGGCGTGGTGCAGCGGCCCTCTCCCGTTGCTATCCGCCTGGTTGACGTTGGCACCGTTCTGCAGCAGGAATTCACAGGCTGCCAGGGCATTCTGGTCCAAAACAGAAGGAAGTCAGCTGTTCGATTTCTACTCACAGGTAAGACTCTGAACCTTCCCCATTATCACATCGTCTAAACAGGTTCACACTGCAGGACTAAAATTATTAAACCCTGCAAGTGGCCCCTAATGGCCACCATCAGATTTGTTATTCTTAGACTAGTTTTGTGGATAAAAAAATGCTACAGTTATTTAAAGGGTTTGCCCCCTGGTTATATGAATGTTCTAGATATCTTTAGTCTTCAGATTCAAAGTTCAAAGGGTTATAAAAATGACCAGCATTCAACTTCTGGGCATCAATATTGACAAAAAAAATGTTCTCCTCACCACAGAGACGGCCTGTATCAGCGGTGTGCTCGACTCCTCGGCCACGTTGACCCAGTTGACGTCGGCTCCGTGGGCCAGAGCGTCCGCCATGACGGGGAAGTTCTGCAGGGCTGCCGAGCGGTACAGCAACGCCCCGGGGTGGAGACCGCTGAGATCCTCCTCTTCCTCTTCAACCTCTGAATGATTGGAAAAGGGAGACACCACAGGTGAGCAGGGGCACATTTTTTACTAAAAGATATCACCATGAAGCTTTCTGAAAATATTGTCCAGGATAGAAATCTGAGCATTAGAGGAAGCCAGCTTCAAAGGTTTTGATTTGTTTGTTGACTTGGGGGGATTTTAGATATCTTTCAGACCCCATTTCTAGGAATAAATTATTATAAAAGTCAGTTTACGAATGATATATAAACAAACCTCTTCCCCCAATTAAAGTCTTTAGCACATATAAGAAAAAAGAGTTTTACAAGTGGTACTGAAGTGGAGATTTCAAACTCAGAATCTGAGAATAAACTATTTGTAGCAAATGTTTTTAAAGGTTTTATCTCACCTTTGTGAAAGCCCGAATTGTTTTTCTGGACGAGGTCACTGGGGCTCAACCCTGAGGAGTGAAAGAGAGTCATGATTACTGGTTTATTCTGCAGACTGCCACAACAAAAGCCCGCACACACAGATCAAATACAGCAGAAAGGGCTCATAGGATTATCAACTTTTGCCGGATCACCAAGTTTGGGGATTTGTAGGTGTGTGTTTCTGTTTTCCTAACACCAGCAAGTGCCAGTAAGCAACCAGATGAGTTATTTCACTTCCATCTCGACTTCCCGCTTCTCATGGTTTACCTGTGACCCGAGGCAGAGTGGCTCGGTTTGGTTTGGGTTTCAGAGGCGGCCTCTGTACGGTCCGATCCTGTGTGGTCGCTCGGTTTCTCCTGGCACTGGATCGCCTCAGAGGGGGGTTCCTGCCAGTCTCGGGCAGCTTTTGGATGAACTTCTTTTCAACGTACTTTGAGCGGATCCAGGACTCCTTGTCTCCTCTTGGGGACAGAAATGACAGATCAGATAAAAGAAAGAGAAGGCAGCGAGCGAACAGACTGCAGGCTTGTGTTTGTCAGCGTGTGTGCGGTTTGAGTTGATCTCAGTTTGAATCCACAACTCGCAGCTGTGAGTCAAGAACTGACGTTTTTGAGGCACTTTAATGAAGCAATAAATTCAGCTTAAAGAGATCTTAACGCTCATCTATTCTTTAGTATTTAACTACATCACTAATCTAAGCTTTGTAGACCTGCACAATGCAAAAAAAAGATCAGCTGGGGCATTAATGTGATAGTTTGCAAATAGAAAAGACCAAATTAATGATCTAATATAAACAAGAATAGAAGCTCATGCTGCGCATAGTCTGCGGCCTCAACACAAGTTTCCGGACCTCACAGCATTAACCGTCTGCATCAAGTACCTGTAGCACTTCCTGTCTGCTGCGGCGTAACACAGGAGAGAGAAGAGGAAGTCAAAATATAAGTGTAAAATGAGTGGTAGGCTGCTGATAAACTTATCTGGAAGCCACGCAGATGTCAACAGAGGATACATGTTTTTAACTGAGCCTCTATCAACAAGCTATTTTGTGAAGAGCTAGAGCCAATTCCTTCTTACTCAGTCAGTCAATGTAAAAAAAGAAAGAAAAGAAAGGCGTGTAATGTCATCAATAGGACAGCAGGAGGAGATGAAGAGGGTGTTTTTGGAGCTGCAGTAACATTTTGTCAATCATTTAATAAATAACGCCAGAAAGAAGAGCCTTCGAAATAAAGGACTGCATCTCATTAAATGCCAAAAAATCTCATCTGGAGAACCAAAAATTACTTCCAACCGATATCTCAGCATACTGAAGATCAAATTTGGCTGGAATTAGTCGTTGTTTCTTGAATCAGATGCATTCAGATTATAACAAGCTCATAATTCAAAACATCATTTAAAGCTACAGAAAATTAGGCCACACATCCTAAATTAATTACTTAAAAAAAAAAAAAAGTAACAGCATTTTCTTGTTTCCTTCTGTTCTTTCTTTAATGTTTAAATAAGTCTGTTTCTTTCCATATTTCAGAACCCTTCCCTTGGGCTCTGCAGATTCAAACTCAGTATTGCAATTCCACAAAGTTTGGAGACTTGTAAATGACAGGAATAACTAAAATGGAAGGCGTTCCCTTCATAGCCCCCATTTCTAATGAATTTTTCGTTGTCTAATCTACAGCCCAAGAACGATAACCCTCATGACATCCGGGTCATTATCTTAGACTACTGAGAGCTCCTCCAGTTGTTTTCAATGGACTGAGGAGACTTTCCTGTGACAAGCAGGTGTCGAATCAGTGAAATTACCCTTTTAGTGTCTTCACATTTGGACTGATTGTTCATACCTGGGACTGGAGGGGTGGGGCTTCTTGATGGTGATCTCATCAATCCGAGCCTCGTAGATCCTGTTGATTACCGTGTTTCCTAATTCACACATCAACTAAAGAAAGCAAGACAAAGTGTTTCAGTTTTATTTACTTTTTGGGAGATTAGTTTTAAAAAAAAAGGCTTACAAAATACATAGCTTACTGATGATTTCCGCTGGAGTTTGCTAAACACAGTAAAAGGGCCGTAATGAGTTAAATGGCTAAATTACCTTAATGAGCTCAGGCTCCCAGGAGTCGAGAGTGAGGGAGCGTACTTTGGAGAAATGGACTCCAAGGCTCCTGTTGGGGAAGAAAAATAGAACAGGAAGAACAGGTTTCAAGCTAAGTGTCTATGTGTGTGTAGGTGTGTGTGTGTGTGTGTGTGTGTACGTACCTGTGTATTCCTGAGCAGACGATACAAAGCGTGATGCCGAGGTTGATGGAGGCCCAATCAGGACCGGGCTCTCCGCAGTCGCAGCACTGCTTGTTCCCTGGGATTGCCTGAACCTCTTCCAGCGCCTTGCAGCCCTCATTCTCCTGATCCACGCATCCTCCGCCTCCCCCTCCCAGCAAATTGCTCGCTGACATTGAGCTGCAACGCTGCCTCTGGTTACGCAAAACACACAGGATTGAGGAGATGCACGAAGACATAGAAAACTTCCTCTGTATCGCTCCAGATTACACTCCCACAGAAAAATGCAGATATCGAAGATAGTGTGTGTGTGTGTGTGAGTGCAGGTGTGTATTCTCACTGGGCTGTGCGTGTCTTCTCTGCGCTCCTGGAAAGCTGAAGCGATGCTGTTTTGGACGGCGCTAATCCATGCTTGCTGCAGCCTTTCTGAGTCCGCCTGCAACAAACAGCACCTGCACACACACAAAACACACACTGTGACCATCTGAGAAACTAACAGCAACATACTTACATGCTAACAATTCACCACCATCGCTCAAACGCATCAGTGCATGAAGTCGTTCACCCACGCTAACTCACTTTGATGGGGAGACCACTTCAAAGCAGAACCGTCTCTCATTTTCAGTGCTGGGCTTGACTGTGCAAAGACGCAAGTCTTCAACCACAACTGTAGGCTGGTCCTGAAAGCGACGAGGACAGGAAAAACATGCAGGTCAGACGGCGCTTGCATACATGCATGCGTGTGCTTTCACACAGCTCATGAAAAACTTCATCTGAAACATACCTTGAATTTTTTTTGATACACCAGCTGATTTTTCTGAATTGAAAACCAGCGCCTGAGGTGGAGAAAGAATATAAAAGATGATGATGGAGTCTGCGATGTAGTTGTTTAACTTATTGTTGCACAAGGTAACAAAGAAGTGACATATGCAGCTCAGTTTGGAAACTACCACTGGACATCTGAGTCCTTTTAGTGAGAGGGAAAAAGCCCACCGACAATGCAGCTGTTCTGTGTTAAGGATTCATGGTAAAAACGTGTACCTGCTCCAGGTCTTGAAGGCATTGCTGGCTCTCTTGTAGAGGTAGCCCTCCATTGCAATCCCATTAGCTGCGTCAGCATTGAAATCCATAATGGAGTCATCATAGGACATGTCCTTGAAATGTTAAAGAGACACAAGTCACTTTGTGTCACTGAGTTACTAAAGTCTTTACTGTGGTTTAGAAAAACTTGTTATTTAAAAGCGTGTCTTCTGATCGAGCATCACAGATTAAAACACCTACGTTACCTAAAATGCAATGCAACCACAAACATACAACCAGTGCTCCCAACAACTAAACAGCTTGTGATGTGGCCTTAGTGGCATACTCCTAAACTGTACAACGTCATTACCTTTTGCTTGATTGCTGCATGTCTTTGCTCCATATCTCTCTTCTCCCTGGCAGCGTTTAGAACAAACTGGGTGTGCTGTCAGAACAGAAACAGACACACGCATTCTTTAGATTCTTCAGAAAAGAATGTATATTTATTTTAGGTTATGACGTATTTCATTCAGTTGCGCTTTCTCCAGGATGCCAGCATCAACAGCTTTAAGAAGCTGTCTTCTTATTAAGTTTTGCACTTTTATTCAGGTCAGTGAGGAACTAGTGCTGATTTAGCACCTTGTCAAAAGACACGCTAGTCAGAAATACAACTGTAGAACTTCTCTAAGCAGCTCTCACCTTCCACATGATCCATTATCCAACACATAAAAGTCGTATATTAATTAAAAACAGCGGGAAATGTAGTTATTTGTCTCATCTACATCTATAAGCCTTGGACAATTTGAAAATGGAGAAGAAAAGCTTTAAAATGAAAAACTAATTACAATTCAACTAGAAAATAGCAGCATTGGAATGACAGAAAGTTGCTTCGAAACTCATAAAATATATAGAATATTTGTATGTATTAATGAAACCTGCTTGGATTTTCCCTCATCTATCTGTTTAATGTACCGTAGTACAACCATTTCCAACCCTCTCTAACAAATTTGCTTCAATGTGAGCGAGAAACGGAGTGAGATCTCCAGGTTTCAGGCGAGTCGTCACTCCTGCAGACTCTCGTGGAAACAGGAATTAGGAAGTGCTTTTTTTTTCTTTTTTGTGTACCCGGTGCCAAATCAAAAACCAACACGGGTGGTTTCTCTTGTAAAGAGTCTGCTTAGTGTATCATTCCAGCGTCTTTCCATTTGTCTGTCTCATCTGCTTTTTCTCGCTCCTATCATTTCCTGTTGAAACAGGAAGAGGCTTCATGTGGTTTGATTCGAACTTTTGCACAATTCATTTCCTGGTCCCGTTTCTTTTCGAGCAAAAAAAAAAAAAACGTTCAACAGTGATAGCGCGGATGTTCGAGGTTGACGGTGCAGAAAAGTTTTTCCAGTTTCCTCAGTTATAGCGCAGGAACTAACACACACCAGCACACACACACGGACATGTGAAATATTTCCTGTTGTTGATCTCTTTTTCCTGTCACGATGAAAGTGTGATGTCATCTTGTGACTGCTCTGCCCCACCCCAGAAAGTTGCCAACGACTTTTTTCACTGGAGATGCCAAACATTTTAAATTTGTATCCTGCCTCAGAACACATCTGCAAAAGTATGTTTCTGAGTGTTTGTCCTCCTCCCTTTTTTTTCCCAAGTTGGACAACTGTGCTGGCAGTTTTATTGCTACTGTGTGCCAAACTGCAGTACACGGAGCAGTTATTCCAAAGATTTAGTCTCATGGCTTTGTTGAAAGATTGGGTCACATGACTAAAGGCCAGAGGATGCATGCAATCAAATATTTCACAAGACATAAGGTTTAGAGAAGGTTTCTTGTTTCCTTATCCAGAAATGTGCGTTATGTCAACCCCTCCAAAGCTCCTGTATGCAAATACAAACTAATATAATGTTAAGAAAGCAGCAAATGAAGTTAATAAGGACACCCGGGCGCTTTTCTTTGTACTTGGATAACACAGTGTTGAGAAATCTGTGTTTTTAGGTTCTTCAAAAGTGGCTTAAAAGTTACCTGAACCACAAGTCTGAACAATCCTTCAGTTTAGGCCTACAAAAGTGGCAGTTACATAGCTCGTGACCATGATGTTTTAGGTTTTAACTATTACATTAACTCATATGTCTTGCTTTCTTATATTCACAAACAGACAATGTTGCTAAAATTTAGGTTTAAGCTGAAACTGTTTCGTTAATTATCACAATTTACTTGCCCCAAAGAAGAGTTTTACTTAAACATCACAACAAACATATTTTTAAAAAGTTAACTGTGCAAAATATACCTATTATTCTTATTTGCCAGTATATTAACTGTAAAGCTGGAACTTGGGGGTGATTAGCCTAGCTTAGCATAACAACCAGAAACAAAAAGGAAACAACTAGCCTGGTTATGTCCAAAGCAAAAGGCCAGATCTTTTTCTTTAATTTGTTTTTCTTTTCTTTTTTTGTGTGTGCAAAGGATAGCACAATTATTGCTGTTAAAAAGTTTAACCACATGACAGATATGATAAAGAGCCTAAAAGCCCAGATAGTAACATCCTTTAGCAGACTGTTTGCTGCATAATGAAAAACATCCAGTGTTTCTTTCTATTCTGTACTCTCACATGCACAGGGTACATGTTTATTGTCTGGTTAAGTGTCTCTTATCTTGTGCAAAACCAGATGCAGTCATAGAATTTTATGCTGACATCTCCAACATCTGCCGTATGACTTGCAACAAAGGAAATGATTACCTCTTCACTTAGTTTGTGACGATACTGATCGAGTTCTGACAGAGACTGGTGGCCTTGTTGGAACAGCATGGCTTGGGCCTCCATCAGCGACAGCATCTAACAGGAAGCATAAGGAAGTATTTAGATCGACGGGTATCTTCAAATTATTCCAGCAAAAAAACTAATTTTAAAAGATGGACGATTTAAAATGGGTCAGATTGAACTCACTGCCATCAGAATATCTGTCTTCTTCTTGGCCTCGATGACGTTAATCTGAAACAGAAGGAAGTCATGGTTAAAGAGACCAGACCAAAAAAAACTCACTGGTCAGCTGGGAGCCACAACCACAAGTCTGGAGAGAAGCCTCGAGGCAAACCTGTTATCATTCAAAACACAACTAGAATCAGATGTTCTGTATTTTATCCAGGCGGCTGTTGGAACCTGGTTGATCATTAGCGGTGATACAAGTCTGTCTCAAGAGCTCAAAGCATAAGGAAAGGAAATTTTTTATTTTTTTTTGCTACTTTAAATGTCTTTTCTCACCTGCAAAACATAGTCCAAGGCCTCAGACCGAAAGGCCTTACGCGCATTGAGCAGAGCGTTGGTCGCCTCCTCCACTTCGTGCTGCTTCCCTCGTGGAGCCTGAGCATTTCTGGACAGCGCCCCCTCCAGGGCTTCGCTGCTGCGCTCAAACTCTTTTCGCACATCCTTAAACCGGCGAACATCTCTGAAGGACAGGAGGCGAAAAGAATTGGATAGTAGGGTTTAATTTTCCTGTTTCTGTGACTATTTAGTTTTTTTTTGACAAGGAGATTCATTAAAGTTAGACCGCCTGGGGAAAACGTTGGCTACTAGTTTGGTGAGTTTTGGTGATATAGCATGAACAAAGATATCGATGCATA